CGACTACATAACAATTCAAAATAATTAATAATATGGATAAAATTGATTTATAAATTAAAACACAAATTAATATATACTTACTCGCGGTAAAACGGGGCCAAATGATAATCTTGGATGTTCCCTTTATCCTTATTCAACTTGTCTTGTATGTACTTTTTGATATTGTGTCGTAGTGAATCGCGAGTAAGAGAAATCATCGAAGCATCTAAGATACAATACTTGATTAGAAGCTTCCTTTCACCACAAACCTCATGGATATACCTGAAAGGTCAAATCTTTATGTTAAAATACAAAAACTCATAAATACAAATGGAAATTAACATAAAACTATACTTACGAGCTCCAAAGTTTTAATATAGAATTGTCTAGGTATCATCTCCCTTCAAAAATTCATATATAGGAAGCTTATCAAGTACGAATAACTGACCCAGATCATGACTTAATGTAACACGCAAAATTGGGTCTGGAATACTCGCCATCATCATCTCTAGTCTCTTAAGGCTATCTTGTTTTGGTGGCGAGGGTTCAATACTGCCCTGGTTGGCAGAAAAACTATGTGTCACGCTTGTACCTATCGAAACTTTATGTTTTACAACTGGTTTAAATTTGTGTGGCTGGATAGATCCAACAAACTCAATTTCTACATCATAAAAACAACATAAATACAATCCAAAATTAAAATACGCAAACAATAATAACAACAACATACAACTTGTACCTCAAGCACATCGCATGTACACTTCTCAGACACCTTTTCGTCATTCATCCTCTCTCACTTCTCTTGCTCCATATGGACACTCTCCTGCATCGTCTTCAATAACCTCCCCCTCTCCTCCTCCAAGAACTTATTTTGCACCGTCTGCAACAACCTCTCCTTTTTTCCTCCAATAATTTCTCCCACACCGTCTACAACCAGCTCTCTCTTTCCTCCTCCAAGATCTTATCATGCTCCTCCTTCCACTTCTCTATTTGCTTCCACAACTCAATAACAAAATCTCTTGAACCTCTCTCTTACTAATTTCCTCTCTAGATGATTTAGAGCATCCAAAATGTACCTTAAAGCCAACGTCTCTACCAAGACCACAGACACGCCTAGGATGCTCCCTGGTTCCAATCGCTTATGCCAAGATGTTGTGACGATCTTGTGAAGTAAAGAGGCCGACTTTGGTTTGTTCAACCAGATCATCCTACAAAAACATATGCAATTTCATCTTTACCAAATTGATTTAACTAAAATAAATATTGTTTAAAAAGTATATACTTACAATCCTTTGAGCCACTTCGCGCATAACATCTGGTATGAACTCGTCGTATTTTCTTTGACGTGCCATCTTTCATTTCTCGTAGCGTGATGGTGGAGATTGAGTGTTGTCAAGACTTATAGAACCTCCCAGCTCTTCCTCCCTTTGATTTCTTTTTTCTTTAATCAAATTTTTTTCAAATATTTGATATCATCCACAAGACAACCTATATGGATAAATATTTCTAGCTCAGTTTTTCTTTACTTTTTGGCTCTTTGCCAAGAATACAGGAGTGGTGTGAGACTCTACAAACTTCTCCCAAACATCTGGATCAATAAATGAATACACCTCGTATGGAGTATTTTCTTTATCTTATTCATGTTTAATATAATCATGGGTGAGCTGTGTTTTAAATCCCCTCCAACGCTCACCACAATATACAAGAATTTTCTTTTTCACATATTTATCACCTGGACTAACATTGAACACTTCCTATGTTTACACAATAGAGATGCTATTAGTATTAAACAATAAAAACTCACTTTACTCAATGCATAAAATTCAAAATAAATACCGTGATATCGATCCATATGTCGTCTTTCAAATCATCAGCACATATGTCTACTTCTACCTTGTAACACAATGTAACCCAAAAAATCATCAGCATGTTCACCAGAAACCCTACTGGTTTCTACATCAACTCTAACAGGGTAGCGAACACTAGTTTTGTGGGCTTTTTTTACCTTTGTATAAATTATGGCACCTCTAATTTTTCTTTTACGTTTTGTATTAACAGAGGTTGCAGGAGATGTTGTATGAGAGGTACTTGTTAAATCAACCATGACTATCAAGAGACTAACCTAAATCAAACAATAACGTTTGAGTAACCCTAAACGAGATGATCAAGAGACAAACTAACGTAGAAACCCTAAGTGAAATGATCAAGAGACAAAGTGAAATAAAAAGATTTGATGAACAAACTTGTTGCAAAAATGAACAAACTTGTTGCCAAAATGACTTTTGATGAAAATCTGTTGGAAGAGTTTTGATGAAAATCTCCTAGAGTTTTTATGAAATAAGAGTGACAAAATGACATTTGAGTGTTGATAGGCAAATTAAAAGTTAGAAACTAGATAGTATTAGTCTGAAGTATTTCATGCAAATTAGGTGTCACTTCATATTTACACAAAAATCGACGTGATAGTATTAATGAAAAATATAAAAATAAAAAAACAAACTAGCGTCATATTATGGGAATTCATTTAAAAGATATATCACGTCGGTTATTGTAAATCACCAAGGAAATAAATTATACAAATAAAAAATTAAAATAAGATTTTTGAAAATAGTAATTTGAAATCGTTAATGCAAAATATATTACCTCTCAGTTGGACCATGTAGCCGAGGTAAATACTAAAAAAAAATTAACAAAGATTAAAATTGAATTTGGAAATGCGCCAAGTGAGAGATACTTGTTGAAAAATTGAAAAAAAACATAAAATGCTGCCACTGAGTATCAAAGCGAGTTCCCTTATAGCCATGTTCCCTTAGTTTTCTAATAATCCAAGGGGAAAATTGTTTATTTTAAAAATTAAAAATAAAACATGACGCTCCCAGGACCTATACCATCGATTTTATATTATTCAAGGTGTAAGCTTCGTCATAAAAAGTGTCTTTTTGTTGTAGAGTGTTGTGGTGACTCTAGTACACTTGAGCGTCCTAGGAGAAAACGCCTCACCATAGTTTAAGGAACTAGGACCACGTGTAAGAACGATCCAACAAGATGTTTCCATGATGAGATTAAAATTTAATGCGTCTGTTCGCAAAGTTACTCATGTTGGATCCCAATTTTTTCACTTCTCTAAGCGATGGATCTGAAACAATAAGCCCGACACAACTTTCTTGAAGACTTTTCATTATTGCGTCACAACAAGCTTTAGGAGCTTTGGGAGTAACTAGCTCCAAAGAAGGAAGTCCAATTTCTTGAAAAAAAATAAACCATAGAGAAAAAAGAGGAACAAAATAACAACACAAGAGATTAACGTGGAAACTCTAAAATCGGAGAAAAAAATCAGAGTGTTGTCAAATAACAACCAGAGAATATCACTATGTGAAAATTGTTACAACATATAGACTACCCACAAACACCCAAGACCCTAATACACCCACACTCTCCAAAGCAAATATTTAAATACCTCTTACAATACTCTAAAATAAGAGTATAAGAGAAAATTAAAAAAAAAATCAAATACAAGCTTAAAGCGTTTTTGACTGGTACATTTTGTAAGGAAAAACGTGAATCTTACATATGACCTTAGATTCTCTCTTCTATCACTAAACTAAGCGACGTGGGTATTGAAAAACTTTAATTCTATATATAGTCTTGGACTCTCTTTTCCTTTACAAAAATAAGCGATGCGAGACTTCTTCAACATGTATATTTTCAACCAACTTCAACACAGTTATGAGTACCGACCATTCCACTAAAACACAATTATTGTTCGATGTCATCAAATAGTCTCCCGCATTCCATGTAAAAAAGATGTTCTCTACCATTTTATAACCGTCATTCATATATAGTATTTCACATGAGGCTTATGCTCCAGAACCACAAGAGAGAGACGCCACATCTCAATCCAAAACCTTAAGGTGTTAGATAAATGAATCATCTCTCTTATAAATTCAACATTCTATTCATTCATAGACAATATGAAACTTTAACCACTCACACTTACACCCAATAATTCTCTCTCTAACCCATAATTCATTATATTCTTTATTTTCTTACTACCTTTATTAAAATATTAATTTTGTAAATCCATTTTATACCATTGTATCAAAGATCCATTCCACCAGATCAAAACTCTCCTCCATCATTGTTTCATCAACCGTGTAAAACATTAAATATATAAATCATTATATTTATCTAAATAAAAGAAAAAGTGATCATATAGCCTTTGAGTTGATTTTAAGTATAGCAATTCCAAGCATTGCACATGCATTACTAATTTTGTGAATACTGGTCAATGTAGTGAGAAACAAGCACGATTATAATTTTCCATTTCTTTCTTTCTTTCATCCTCACCAGCCATTTTTTTTCATATATTAAATATTTTTGAGTAATTATCATACCCTTCAAAATAAACATTAGCTTAGATAAGACACTAAATGCACATTTTCATTTCTTCAATGTGAGGCATCCTTTACAAATGTGCTTGTATATCACATGAAATAAAACATTCGCATGTGCAACTACATGTTAGATTAATTTATTTTAATAAGCTACAAATAAATTATAAATAAAATCTTCTAAATTCCAATCTATACATACCTAACTAACCAGGACCATTCAAAAAATGAAGTAACTTAATTAATGATTCTGTTTTAACAACATACATTAAAATAGTATTGAGAGTAAAAGCAACACAATCTTGTCTTTATCAATAGAATTTCAGATGAATCTCAATCAATAATTCCAATCACATTTTTTTAACACAAAAAAACAAATAAAAGAAAAACAAAATGTCACGGACTATAAACTTTTATTTTGTCATTTATCCAACATGTTTTGATTTGTCTCTAAATTGAGTTTTTGTTTCTTTCATTATTCACTTTATAAGCTACACAAAACCATGACATAAATTCACAAGTCTCATTCAGAAAAAAAGTGTAGATAAGGAAGTTTTGTAGAATCTTGATATCTTATCCTTGCTTATAAAACCTTTTTTTTTGTTGATTTTTTTCATCTGAATCAGTAACATGGATGTGAAGTTCAAGTCTCTTTCTGAAGGTGAACATGAAGAAGAAGAAAAAGAAAACATACACTTTCTGAAATCTCTTCAGGTTTATGTGTATCTATTTTGTTGTGTTTATGATATTTATAGTTTTTTTTTTTTTTTTTTTTTTCATTTTCAGTGAAGTTTTATGTTTTGGTTTTTTTAGGAGTTAAGAGAATTGAGGTCTCAGCTTCACTATGCTGCTGATTACTGTGAAACAACATTCTTGAAAAGTGAAAAGAAAAAAGAGTGAGTAATTTTGTTTTATATATTTATTATTTTATACAATATTTACCAACTTTTTTATTTATTGCACTTTGTAACTTTAGTGTAAAAGTAAATTAATTTTTGTTTGTTAGTATTTGGACATGTTGACCCGTGACACATTGGAATTTGTACATTTAATTGCAGTGTGATGGAAAACACAAAAGAGTATATATGTAGAGCTATGGTGACTGTGGTTGATCATCTTGGAAATGTTTCTTCCAATCTTGAAGGACTTATTTCTCACACTAATTCATTTTCTGATGCTCAGATAAAAATTCAATGCCTCAAACAAGTTAGTATACTACTCCCTCCATTCTCTTTTATAAGAAAAATTTGACTTTTTAGATTCATTGAATAAATAACGTATTTAGACTATATATAAGTTAGATACATCAATTATTAAATTAATCTAAAAAGTTAAAATTTTCTTAGTAAGTGTTGAATGTTTTTTTGGCAGAGACTTTTCTCGTGCGAACAATATGCGGATAAACTTTCCATCTCAAATATGCAATGGAAGGAGAAATTTCCAAGATTCCATACAAGATATCTATCACCATGTAATATTTTTCGTATAATCTTTTGATATAGATATACAACTTTTTTATTTATTAAAAATCAATTATAATTTAATTGCTTTTCATGATCAGCTCCTATCCTTGAAAAAACACAAGAGAATTTGAAGCCAGCCATTGCTACAAATAACAAGCACAACAATTTGGCTTTTGGTAACATAACATTTCATGTTCTTATCAAAATAACATTAATGTTATGTTCTTCTACTTAGATTTTCTTAATATTTTTCTAACCATTTTAATGACTATACTAGTGATGCCTGTTCGCGACGGTTTGAAAGTGTTGGCAAAAGTTTCAAATCCTAAATTTCATTTTCAAGTGAGTTTTTCTTCTGAATTGTTTCACTTTCATGATTCATATACTGCATAATGAATTGGTTGCTCTCCTAGTCTTGGATTTACAAATTTAATGGCTTAATTATTTCTATAGGCTACTCCAAAGGTCAGACCGCGTCATAGAAGATCGGTGCACGGAAGCGATATTTTATGGCTCATTAGGCGTACAAAACATACACATTGAGAATGTCGATTTTAATTGCTTATCGTTGTCATGTTTAATCTAGTGTTAATTGTATGATTCACGAATCAAATATGATTATTAAAATATTGGTACGATTAAAGCACTTTGAAAGTTCGATTTTTGACCGGACGTTACTAATCTTCGGGTGAAATTCTAAAAATTTTAACATTGATGTTTAGCATAAGTACTATATGAATCTTCCACTATTTTGAAGAAATAAAAGAATTTACAACAAGTACAGAAATTACAATAACCTAAGTAAAGTATGATTTACAAGCTGGTTATGCTAAGAAGAAATGTACACAAGAGTTTCAACTAACATCATAACCAAAGCCTCAATCTTTGCGTTTACATTTACATTAAACTTTTTTATATTCCGTGTTAAAATTCGACGCTTCTCTCTTTTTCGTTGATATTAATGTCGTACGATAGGACTTCTTATAGCACTCAAATACTCGAGCTTATCTAAGTAGTAGTTTTTCTTTGGTGTTCCGACTCTCGGAGATTTAATCGATGCCTTTTCGTCTTTTTCTTTCAAGTCTTCTAAGTGGCCCGTAGAGTTAGTCCTTTTCAAATCACTTCCAATTTTGTTTGAATTCCATCCCATGAAATCGGAGAGAGTCATTGACGGTGGCGTCTCTGATGAATTCAAGCTTCCCAGTCCTTCCTCGGAGTTTGGAGATGTTTGTTCAGACACTGGCAAAGAATCCAACGAGAATGTTCGTCCACATGTCGCCAGTGACGGATTCTTCGTCATTGAATCTACGAATAAGATGTCCTCGATCCTTGATAAAACCGTATAAGCCAAACTTTCTATTACTCTTGAATAGCTCTCTAGAATGGCTTGTCCCACATCCTTTGATCATTTCAGAACAAGTCAAATTTCATTAGTAGAATGTTAAAACAAAGAAAACATAAACAAAAAAAAGCGAACTCAAAAGAGACAAGTGCTTTGTTATATCACCTTGTTGTATTGGATTTTGCTGATATCAAGCGAAGACTGTGGAAGTCCCGGAAACTGTTGTTTGATCATGAGCAATATTGTTTCTGCTCTCTCCTCGAAGAGTTCTCTCTTCTCCATGCTTATCGCGGAACTCCATGAAGATTTTCCATCTTTGTTCATCTTCCTTTTCCATATAACTATGGAAGCTTCAATCCTATTCTTGAGGTCAAGAACTTTGTGCTCCGTGGACATGTCCATTGTCGATAAGAATTGTCCCGGATCAAAGTATTCAACAGTTATGCACTTGTATATTGATTCACCGAGACTCTCTCTACCGTTCTGACAAAAACATCAAGAAAATTCAAACACTGTCACGGCTCGCGATAAGTTCAAATAAGCCGAATTATATTACCTTAGGGAGCGATTCGATGTAGTTATCGGGTATTTCCATTTCGGATAGAACTTGAGCATTTATCGCCATGGCTGCTTTAAGTACTTGGTTAACATTGTCTTTTTGGAACTGTATCCATTTCATAGCTCCATCTGATAAACCTGCCGGTGGAACTTTAACGATCGGTAGCCACCATTTGTCGCTTTTTCTTTGAGTGGCCGTGTTACCTTCAGCCTCTTCGTCGTTTTTAGAGACATACCAGAATTCATTTTCATCTTTAAAGTTGTCCAAAATGTCCTATAAACACATCGTCATTCGGTTACTTAGTCCAAAGTTTGTGTTTTAATAGTAATTCAAAAACAAGCATATTCGGATTCACTTACAATGAGCATTGCATCCAGCTTGCGCAAAGCGGGAATGTTCATCAGCAGATCGATTCTTTGTCGGGTCGTCATAATCTACACAATGTCATATATTATTTTGTCACAAAAGTATCTTTAGCCACGGATCCAGAAATTTGAAGTCGTCACAGAAATCTCTTTTAACCATCGCAATAAAATGCTCATAAAATTTTCTAGTCTAAAATTTTTTACCTCCATTGTTGATCCATCCTTAGCCAACTGTTGTGAGGGAGCAAATTCAACAATGTGATCAGTCACAGATAAAAGCCATTCGATTTCTTTTCTCCACCTAACTTTCCTATCATGCGACATCGGTTCTAGCTTCGATTGTTCTCCAAAAACCGATGCTACATATAATCAAGAAAAAAACACACAAATCGTTAAGAGAAACATAAGTTCGAATCCTAACTCAAACAATCTCGAGGGATAAAAAAGTAAATATACCAGCCAAATTTGTTATGGCATTCGACAAAGCCAATGCTGATGAAACACCATTTCCAGCACCAGACATGTCTTCTCCTAGAAGTAACTTAGCAAATCTTTCCTTCATCAATTCAGTTTCTAAAAAACAAAAAGAGAAAAAAATGCCAAAAATGAAAAATATCATATTTACAATAACTAAAAACAAAAAGGACTTCAAAAAGTCCGCAAATCCTAACTCAATTAGTAAAAACCAATATTGCTAAGTTTGACGTTATCACCAGAGTTCAAATCCGATACAGATAAAAAAACAAAAATTTAAGAGAAAAACATATTTACCAGTTGGTGGCTTAGGAGGTATTTTAGGTGCATCTGGTTGAACATGATCATTGTTGAGAGAAAATCCAATTGGATGAACTTCACATGAATTATCAATTGTATTTCTTGATTCAAAGCTTTTTGAATAAACTTTATGATCATGATTATCATTTCCTTCATCATGATCCTTATCAAAGAAACCTTGAATATGTTTTCCAGGAATTTCAAACATTTTTTTAAAATGAAAAGACTTTGATTTCTGCATGCTGCTTTGATGATTAAAAGCCCTAACCATTGTTAATTAAAAAAAACCTTGTTTTAATTTCCACCTTTGTTTTTTTTATATAAAAAAAACAAAGGTTTAGAAAAAAATTTGAATATTGAACAAATTTTGATCTTATGACTTAATAGCAAATTTTGTGTTATGTTGTTTCTTGTTGTTGAAGTTATTAACTCTTGTTCAATCTAATGTGACACAAAAAATTATAATCTAAAATGATATGTTAGAATGAATTTTTGGGATGGTTTTGATGATAGGAAAAAATTTGTTGAGTTTGTTTTATGAATGAGTGGATGATAGGGAAAAATGTTACATTTTTCTAACTATAGTAGTTGTTATTATCTCTTATTTTTCTACCATTCTTTTGTACAAAATTTTGAAACGGATTTTGGAAGAAAAACAGAAGAACAACGAATTAGTTGATGGATGAAAAAAATGGAATATGTATAACTATCTTTTTAATGGTTATCATTTGTTTTGTGAATTTCAAATGAAATTTGGATTAATTTTCGGATAGCCACAGAAATAGCTCTATAATTAGAAGGGTTTATTTCTAATCCTCTTGATCCTATTGTAATATATATATATATATATATATATATATATATATATATATATATATATATATATATATATATATATATATATATATATATATATATATATATCTTACCGGTGATCAAAACTTGTAATGAGTAAGAAATTTCGTCCGCAGTACTGAAATCACGGAGGAGGGATGTACCTACAAGACACTCTGATGTTGAAGTAAGTAAGAATGCATAGATACATGAGAGAATTTAGGGATAAGATTAGAATTCCCTGACCCTCACAAGTGTGAGGGTATTAATATTGTCCCGACGCTTGGCCATTGGTTCCTATAATGAGTTGGACATCTAGAATCCAGGCTCAAAAATAGGTAACTACTAGGATTTCTGTGTGAAAGCAGTGGCGAGCAACTTGTGCTCGTTATCGTGGGAAAACGTGCCTGGAACTAGCCGTTATCATGGCCAGAGGTGCCCAAAACTAGCCGTTATCATGGACAGAGATGCCCGGAATAACCGTTATCATGGGCAAAAATGCTTGTTGTCTGTTATACGGGATGAGCGACATCTGTTTGGCCACGTGTCCCCAGAGGAGGGGCACGTGGGAAAGGTGCTTCCAATTGTCCTTAATGGTTTGGTCCATCGTTTGGGTCGTCCTCGACGTAAGAGCAAGATGGGTAGTGCTCGACATTAGGCTAACCTTAGGTCCAGTCTAGAATAGGGTGTCCTCAGGGTGAGGAGAACATGGAGAATGTGCATTCAGCTTGGACTCCGATGGGTTGAGCCATCGTTTGGGTCGTCCTCGACGTAGGGGAAAAAAGGGTCGTGCAGCCATTGGTCCAGTCTAGAACAGGAGCCCCTAAGTCGTTGCTCCTAGGTAGATGAGTAATGACTTAGAGGCGTCAAGAAGGAGCAGAAGATTTTGCGCAAGATGAATTTTTCTTTGTGCTCGCGGTGGTCTTCAGTTGAGCTTGTTCTCATGTTAAGTGTTTGGCTTGTTCATTGTATGCCTTTATTTGCTAAGTACTAATTTTCCTCGGTCATGCGCTCTGGGTGCTTGTCGGTTTGAGCAGCTCGTGATAAAAGCTCGTTTTCCAATTATTTCCGCTAAGTGTTTTGGGGGGATCTTGCGTCGAAGTCATTGTTGCTCAACTGTGTGGGGAACTTATCGAGTGGTCGGAGTAGGATTCTGGACAGGTAGCGGTAGCAAAGATCTCGATCGAGGTCTTTAGCTTCGCGGCATGAACTTCCCATCGCGAGCTGGGTGTTCTGCCAACGTGGTACAACGACGGCGGAGATCAGTTGAGGTATCCCCGTCAGGCTAAGATTCTGCTCGCCACAAAGTGGAAACTTGCCTTTCTTCTATGTTTGGAAGGGTATGCTTGTACCTGAGCACGTCTTTATGGTCGGGGCGTTTCCCCTCATCGTTGAGCAGGGCACGCCAACTGTTAAGGCCTAACTGTATATTGTTTCAGTTTCTCGGTGTTCCAAGATCGAGCAAGTTTTTTCCCGTGTAGGTTTCCGAGAGAGTAAACCCCGTTTTCAATTTTTTTTCGTGACGCGATAGAGGCTTTCCCAATTCGCGGCGAGTTTTCCCTCGTGAGAATCTTTGTGATTTCTTCTCAATACTAGGCTGCCAATTTGGACTTCGCATTTTATGACTTTGGCGTTATATATCATATAACTATTCTTTGTTTTAATGAAGCTTCTCGGAAAGTTGCTCTTGATTGAATTTCTTCGACAAGGTTGAGTTCCTCCCAGAGAGCCTCTTTGTTCATATCCTCATCGAGGGGAGACTCAATTTTCCTAGAAGGCTCTTTGATTTCCATCGGGATTACAACATCGGTCCCGTAGGCTAGTTGGAACGGGATTTCCTGGTGTTTTTCTGGTGCCGTGAGTCCCGAGCATTATTAGCAACTTCCTTTTCCTCATACTAAATGTAGACCTGGGCCTTGAGGAGGAGGGCATCCAGCGATGCAGGTGTCTCAATGCCAACTACTTTGGTAAAGTCACTGCGGGGGCGCAATTCCCGCTCCATAAGGTATTTCTTCATGTCGTGAGTTAAAATGACTCACCATATACTCCTCTTCACCATAAACAGTAACGACCTTTCCTTTCACCGGGTATTTCAACTTCTGGTGTAGGGTTGAAGTAATGGCGCATGCCCCATGGATGCAGGGGCGTCTGAGTAAACAAGAATACACTGGTCAAATATCCATCACATAGAAGGTAGATTCGAATACTTGCAAACCTACCTTGATCGGAAGATCCACTTCTTCGTGTACCATCCACTTCAAACTGTCAAAGGCTCTCACCACAATATCACTAGGTTTCAGTATAACCCCTTTGCAATCAAGTCTGCCCAGAGCGCCTTTCGGTAGAACATTTAACGAGGAACCAGTATCAACCAATACACAAGCCAAAGTAGTGCCCCTGGATTCAATGGAGACATACAGGGTCTTATTGTGATTTCTTCCTTTCGGAGTCAGATCAGCATCAGAGAAACCTAATCCATTATCAGTCGTTAAGCTAGCAACATAACTTCTAAATTGATCAGTAGAAATCTCTTGTGGCACGTGAGCGGTCTTCAAGAATTTTACTAAAGCTTGTGCATGAGCTTCAGAATACAGTAACAAGGATAACATGGAGATCTTAGATGGGGTTTGCCCTAGCTGTTCAACAATCTTGTATTCTCTCTTATAGATAATCTTCAACACATCTTCCAACTCTTGCCTAGAGGTGTCTTCAATTGTAACTTCTTTAGGCGCCTCCATCTGGGCAGGCTTCGTTATTTGCTCTTTTCCCCGAGCCTCAACAGTTGACTCGACAATGGTAACTCTAACAGGTGTAGCAACAGTCTTAAAGATATTTCCAGGGAGAAAACCCTTCTGCTTCTAGTAACCTTACTAGTCCCAACAATATTGTCAATGTTAGGATCAACAACTTTAGTAACTTCATCTTCAATAGTCGGTAGTTCTTGCTTGACGCCATGGTAGCCGACGTCAGATCCATAGTTCCAAGGAGTAGCTTTATCCGAAGAATATGGGATAGTTCCAGGTGTAGTGATGACCAGAGGAGCATCTTTCAGATTGGCAGTAATTCTTATAGGACCTTTGGAGGTAATCCTGACAGGAGTGCCAAATATTATGGATAAGTCTTGAAACAGGTTCTCAATAGACGGAACCTTCTAAACCAGAATTATGTGATTATCCATTAGGAATTGAACACCTTCCTTCAGCAACTTGCATCCATTGGGTTGGGCTACGCAGCAGTAACATTTTTTAATACATCCTAGAAATAAACCGGCCTGTAACAGATTCTTCTTGATGATTGGTAGGGGTGTAACCAATTCACTTACAGTAGAAACATAGAGAACATCATCAATAGCACTTATGCCTTTGTCGTGCTTCGATATTGGTGTAGTAATCACGTTGGAAGTTTCTGGAGGATCACACTAAATCTCTTTGTTGTCAATCATGTCTTGAATTTTGTTTTTCAAGGCCCAACAGTTATTGGTATTGTGCCCAAGATTGTTGGAACGGTAGGCACACTTTGCATTCGGATTGTATCGAGGAGAAGAGGTGTTGGGATTCTGAGGGGGCTCCCTTAACGTTATCAACTTCTCTTTCAGTAAATGTTGTAATGCTTAAGACAATGACATGCTGATCTTTGTAAAATGTCTTCTCAGTGCGTCTGCTCTATGCTGATTACCCTATTGTTGTTGTTGAACAGACGCAAGATTAGAAATTAATACCGCTCCCACAAATTGATTACGGTTATTTTTAACACGGCCCTTCTGGCCATAAACAACATGGGTCTCATTCTTACCACTGAATGTCTTTTTCACAGCACTCGAAGACGCAACCACTTGAATTTTTCCACTCTTGTTACCACCTTTGACATGTTCTCCAATTAGAATCAACTCAGTAAAACCAGATGAGCAACTTCCAATCAGATGGTTAAAGAATGGACCTGTTAGAGTGCCCATGAACATATCAACCAGCTCCCTATCAGATAAGGGAGGTTTCACTCTTCCATCCAGATCTCTTCACTTTTGGGCATACTCTTTGAACCCTTCATCCGAGCCTATAGTCATGTTTTATAATTGCACGCGAGTTGATGCAAGGTCAGCATTGTATTGATACTGCTTGTAAAAGGCAACAGTCAAGTCTGCCCAAGTACGGATGTTGGTTCCTTCCAGCTGATAGAACCACTAGAGTTGTGCACCAAACAAAATTTCCTGAAAGAAGTGAACCCATAACTTTCTGTCAGCGGTATGGGGTTGGATCGTCCGAACATAGGACCTCATATGAAGTTTGGGACAAGAAACACCATCATATTTAGCAAAAGCAGGGGCCTTGAACTTATGAGGGATAACTACCCCCAGAATAAGACCCAACTCTTCAAAATCTAATCCATTCACTTTCTGGATTTCCATGGCGATTTTCCAACTATTTGTATCTATCATCCACG